ATTAGACAACCACCACCAGCCTGCACAGTGGTAACAAGGCATGATGGATCCATGTTCTCATTCTGTTTACGCCAAACTCTGACTCTACCATCAGAATGTTTCAACAGAAATCGAGACTCATCAGACCAGGCAACATTTTTTTCAGTTTTCAACTGTCCAGTTTTGGTGAGCTCTTGCAAATTGTAGCCTCTTTTTCTTATTTGTAGTGGAGATGAGTGGTACCCGGTGGGGTACCCAGTCCTAATAATCCTTTAGGTGAGTGTGTGTGTGTGTGTGTGTGTGTGTGTGTGTGTGTATATATATATATGACAAATTAGATGTGATGAAAACTATTTTCTCATTTATAATTGGCAAGAAATACATAACTTCTGCTTATAAATTGACAAAACAATGTAAGTGCAGACATGTCTTTTATGCAGCTTGATAAAATACAGTAAAGTCAATGCCCAAAAAGCAACTAAATGAATGCAGGGTAAAATAAGCACCACTGTTACAAAACAACATGTTTTCATGTGTAAACTGTTCAAGGGGGGTTGTATCAATGCTTTCTCTCCTTTGCTCTCAGCACAAAAACCCCTGCGGCTAAAACAAGCTGCGGTCAGAGCACTTACCTGGCATAAATGGTTTAAACACTCCAGGCATCACAGAAACACTGCTGCAATAAACGGAAAAAAAAAATCATTTCAATGGATTCATTTTGATTTTAGTGCGCAAACTACTGCTGTATAGTTTGCAGTAGCACTAGCATATCATGTCATTAACACCAAGGTTTATCAAAGCTTATAGCTTTTGGGTTTTCTCGCAAAACATTCTTGTTTAATGTCCCACAGTTTCATACAGCTCCATAAGTTGTGGTTTATAGAGTTTTATTTTGAACTTGGACTTAAGTATAAAGAAATATGGTTAGTGCTTAGTTCAAGGAGATTAGTAAAGTTAGCAATATATTCACAGATTCGAACTTCCCGTATTAATAACTCGTGAGCTAAATGTTGTTAAAACACAAATGACTGCTCTTTCCAATCATAGTAGACGACAAGTTACAACCCAATTGTCTGTTTTGAGCAATTGTGAGCAACGTTCCCTAAAAGTTCTCTGAAAGTGAAGAATATCAATAACAGAACATTAGGGATGTTCCTAAAATGTCTTCTTTTGGTTATAAGTGCTGCAGTTCAAGGTTTGTTTTTTGACTTTATGGGGACATGTTGGATATTTTATGATCACAAAACACATTACAAACATTACAGAACGTTCCCACATTGTCCTCTGTTGGTCATATAATAACGTTCCCAATAAGACTTTAGGGGGATAAAAAAGACAAAGTGAAAAATAAGCAACCCTTTACGCACACATAATAATAATAATAATAACAATAATAATAATAATTATTATTATTATTATTATTATCATCATTACATTGAGACATAGCTAAATTTACTGTACAAAAGAAGCCTAATTTATTTCTGTCAATTTCTGAGCTACTGATATGACGATAGTTTTTTTCTCTCAAATGAAACGACAAAATGCTCATGAAGTGACTCTCAGAGTGGCTCTGGAGATGAAGTTTATGCATTCATGTCCTCAGTGAGGTGGCAGAGGCTGAAAACAGTGAACATCACACATGCTTCAGATTGTGTGTGTGTGGTAAATGAAACACAAAGACAAGCAGAACATGGATTTATATTTAAATATTCTTTTTGCGGTTTAATATTTATTGACACTAGCATATATCGCAAAATTTATCGGCTACAGTGCTCCTAAAGAGTTAGTCTGGAGCCCTGCGCTTAGATAAACATGGAAGAGACTGAAAGCAGCTGCCTATTAGTGGATACCAAATATACCCGGTACTCAGTACAGAAATGCTGGTATCGTCTCATTTTTCAAAATTTCAGAACCGACTTTGTCCCGAAGTACCAGTTTGACAACCATAGTAAGACCAATAGTGATAGTCAGGGGCGTAGCACCAAATTCTGGGCCCTGTACACTCTCAATGTCAATGGGCCCCCTACACATGGCATTGTACGATGCGGGTTAGCAAAGTGAAAATTCAATTTTGAATGAAATGTATTTTTTTAATTATTTGAATATAAACAAATATAAACAGTGTTTAAATAATAAAATCAGATTATAGTAATGACTGGTTCTTTCATTTACCACCTGAATTGATGCATTTGGCCTACTTGTGCTCAAATACCACCTTAGGCTACATCGGTTTTGTGTACTAACATTTTGATCCATGATACTGATGCAAGTTTTAAATGAAAAACATTTATTTTTAAAGAGGAGAACACAAGAACACGAGAGACAACTGTACCCTCAGAAACCAGGTTAAACTGATGCTACCAACTTTCTCAGTTGGTCGCATCAGCATTTGATTTCGTCGCGGTTATTTTTTATTTTTTTTGCTACATGCCATGGGATTAATCAATGCATGCCGATGAATAGTGGTTTTAATGGACCAAAGCCAGCAAAGGCTTACCATAAATACCTGTAATATATTAATTATCATTGCCAAATTTCAGGATTTTCATTTAATCTGTAATTTTAAGAATTTTACATTTGAATTACATTCAATCTATCTATTTACATTTGAATCATAATCTTCTGTGTCTGTCATTTTTCTATTAGCATCATATTTCTATCTTTTAAAAATCATTAAACATTCAAATGTACATTACATTTGAGTATTACAAGCTAAAACAGATTTTTCGTTATCAAATTTTATAAGTTAGTTCAAAAATCAGAAATCTCACACTCCTTACCTCCTGCATTTTGTAATAATTTGTTTCCTGAGACATTTTTATTTTTATATTTTTATTCATGAATTCGTAATTGGCGTGTTCCACCATCAGTGTGCAATGCGCGCGTGACGTCTATGTGTCTTGCGGAAGAACACTGTTGCCGGAGCTACTTCTCTCCATTAATGTCTATGGCGAGTCACGCAGTCACTGGGCAACTTCGCATCCGAGTCAACCCCGGGAATCCGGGATAAAAAAATAGTCCGAATATAAACACTTATAACAGGCGTAGTGATTCAGGATAAGTCAAAAACACGGTTTGGAAAATGGATTCATGATGTAGCCTACTCGTTCGTTTTGAACATAAGGTACGGACTGCAGTCTGCAGCAGCTGATACAACGGTCGGTGTTCTTTTGCGCGAGCGTCCACTCGTATATGCGACGCGACCACATCACATACAATTTTAACTCGCACAATCAAATTCTCAAAAAAATGGTCGCATATGAGACCAATTTGGTCGCAGTCTGGAACCCTGCATTAGCAGCAGCTGTCTGGAGTTGACTGAGTTACGTTAACTTTAATTGGATGTAACGTTAGGTGCATATAGCAAACTCAGTTCACCTTTTGGGAAGAAAGCAGTCATCAGCTGCTTCCCCGCATTCTGCCTCCTATCTTTTTCTTTCCTCTCTTTCTTTTTTTTAAAGCCCGATTTGGGCTTTTTGCACAGCATGATCAGATCAGGCTCCCGTTACAGGCTCTAGTCTAGACTCACTGCGTTATTACTTGTTTGCCGCCCGCTGCGTCTATGGGCGGTCGACGCGTTGCGGACTAAACCATTTGGAAGGGGGTCCAGAGTGTCTGGCACTGAGTTCATTTTGGTCAATATTTTTTTTTTAATTATTATTAATGACATCAATTGGAGGGCCCAATTAATTCTAATTAGGTTTAAAAAAATTTTTTTTAAAAATTGGTGGGATTTCAAAGGGCCCTCTCCCTAGACGGGGCCCTGGGTAGTCAGGTCCACTTTTCCCCCCACTACCACGCCCCTGGTGATAGTCCCCTAAGCGTTCAGAGATCACCCTGAACTTTACATGAAGGTCCACCAAATGACGTCCCCCAACCATTAAAAGTGCACATGACTGTCTCGGAACGTTCTGGGAATATTAGGTGGCGTCATTGACACAGCGGGGACATTCTGAGAACATTGAACATCAAAGTTCCAAATAAAATATGGTGCGCTAAATGTTCTGAGAACATCCTGAATGTTCCGTGAAGATCTGCCGAATTACTTCCCCCAACCATTAAAAGTGCACATTGTGACCTTCTCGGAATGTTCCGGGAACGTTACTAGGCGATGTCCTGAGAAGATTCTGGGAATGTAAAATTTTCGTTATACTTCCTTAGTTTTTGTTAATTTAATAAACATGTATTTTTGAGTTAATTTAATCTGCATGTGGCCTCACGCATTAATTGTTAAGAGAAAAATATGCCTCAAGATAATGCAAGAACATGTTCAGTATCAGGATCTTTGTATAAAGATACTGTCATGATGAAAGGTTATTGTAGGCTACTAGTTTTGACATTTAGGCAAATTAGAAAAAAATATTTTTGCTAAATCTAGAGTATTTAAGTCATTTTAAAATAAAACAATAACATGGTAGTAATGTAATACTTTAATTTTAATTAAAATAAATGTTTGTGCAAACAAATTACAATGCGATGTGGTTGTTTTGCAGCAAAGTAGAGACAGTAACAGTAGACATGCTAATGAAAAAGTGACAGGAAAGTAAACACACACACACACACACACACACACACACACAAGAGATATCAGTGAAAATTAAGAGACTGAAAGGGGAAAGTGAAGGTCCAGTCCAAGAGAAAACTTTTAATTAGCTATTTGCATGGCCCTATCCTAAGGATTTAAACCTTTTTTTATGAGATGGCCATCCAAACAAACACACATAAAAACAAAAAAAGTCAGAAAATGTTGTGGATGACCTGGAGTGTGAGATTTGAGCTTTAACATTAAGATTTGAGACACCCATTAATTGGTGTTTGTGACAATGTTAACATCAGAGCAATTTTTATAGCACCCACAGTATAAGCACTTTTTTTTTTTCAAGGGAATTAACATGGCTTAGTTCCCTCAGCATATATACTGTATTTAAAAATATATCCTATATTTAAAAATACATATTTGAACATAAAAAGCGACGCTTCAGCTTTAAGGATCTCGGTGATTGGGGAGGGTTCTTCAGGCTTACAGCTCGAGTGTGAAGGTGTTTCTGAGGAGGACAGCTCCCGTCATCTCTCTCCCCTCTTCTCACAACCGAACGAACGGGTCAGCGTCAGCAACCGTGCCCAAACCTGCATGTTTGGCTTGGTCATGGCCTCCCCCCCTCATAAGTGAGCATTATGGATTAGGCTAGTGGAGGGGAGGCGACTGTAAATCCCCACTGTAGTGCTGATCTGGATTTAAACGCTGGACAGATAAATTGTCTTTTGGGTATAGCAGCCGAAGCGGGACAATGGATACGAACATGCGCAAATTTACTGTTAGAAGATGGTTTTCCGTCTACCTGCGCCGAAAGTCGCGATCTAAAAGCTCGAGTTTATGCAAACTAGAGGTGGGTATCGCTTTATTTGTTTCGTATACTACCAACATGTGCGTTAAATCATTGAATTATGTGTGGAGAGACAGACAGTAAACAATGTCGAAATCTGACCGCTGCGGTGTAAAGTTGTGCTGAAGTGCGAAATGTGAAAACGCAACGGCAAATATTTTAGTGTTCAAGATATAATAACAAGCTTTTTTTCTTTTCTTCTTCTTCTTCTTCTTCTTCTTCTTCTTCTTCTAATTCTTCTTCAAACATGCGTTGTATTTTCCATCAGATTTCTCATTGGTTCGGTTGGAAATAGCCTGAACTAGTCAATAAAAACATGTGTCCAGGATCCCTCTTGGAATTTCTATCATAATTTGGAACCCATTCTATCCTAAAGGATCCTGGAATCAAATAATTCGACAAGAATAACACAAATAACAATGCTGCAGTTTTTACAGTTTGATATTGTTTATCTTTGCACCCTGTATAGGTTATATGGATAAATTGCTGCAGGACATTTTTACAAAGCTGCAGAAGTTGTAAAATCTTAGAAGAGTATCTTTACATTTTTATACATTCGTCCAGGATAATTTTATTGCTTTTTATATAGGCCTGGCGGTTATTAACCTGATAGTGTGATTGGTACTTGCACAAAAGGAAAGAAAATGCAAACAATATTTATTATATTACAAAAGCAGCATGTTTATTGTACGTTTTTAACATAAAAGATTGGTAAACAAAAAGTTTGTTTTATAGGTAAAAATATGATTGGTGTCCTTAATTTGAGAAAAGGCTATTTCCCTGCACAAAACCCATCTCATTTTTTATGGTGTATACTTTTAAAAAGCTTGTGTTTTTTACTATTGCACTCTAAACTGGGTTGTTTGAACCCAAATTTGGGTAAAATATGGACAAATCCAAATGTTGGGTTAAAAATGTAATTTCAAATTTTAACCCAACTTCAACTTTCACTTTCAACTGTACATTGCATTTTTAACCCGACATTTGGGTTTGTCAAAATTTTACCCAAATTTGGGTTGAAAGTTGACAACCCAGCATTTTTTAGAGTGTGTTATCATGTCAATTTAGAGTGTTTATATTGTGTGTACTATTATTATTACCCTCAATTTCTGGGGAGTTATTGTGTACCCTTTATATCACCTTAACAGTACAATTTACCGAAAGAGGATTTTAATAGCTGAAATAAGTGGTTCTACTTACATTATACAATTTAATACAATTATGATATTTACAATATGCTCCTCAAAAGTATCTTCCATAATGTCTAACAAGATCACTGTATTTAAATGGTGAAGTTCTGTGTGTTTTTTTCTCCCACTGCACAACATTTTCTTCAGCTAAAATTTATGATAGATATTCTTGGACAATAATTCAGCTCAAGTCTAAACTGCCTTTTTTATTATACAATTTTAGAAGCCCTGCAATATGAATCTCATCAGAGGCATTACACACTAACATCAGCAGTAAACGTCGTCAGCATATCTTGGTTGGTTTTCAAACAGCTGTGGACCTGTGTTGTTTTTGCTGAACCCTCAAATGTCGGGTGCCTGCCGGCAACAATGATCAAACCTGGCATACCTGTCTCTCAGTATTAATGGTCAAGGTCTCAAAAGAGTTCCATTCTATGAAGCATCTGTGCCTCCAATGTGTGATAAAATGGACCTATCTTTTATGTCTCTAATACCTGTATGCTAATTGATGAATGTGTAATGTAATGTCAACAACAGAACATGTTTGGCTAGCAGGTTGTTTTAAATTGTGTACACTTTAGTAACTCTTAGAAAGGTTTTTCCTGCAGTCACTAGTTTGAAATAGGCTATAAGGACTTTTTATTTTAAAGAGTGTAAAGAGCACCTGAAAACCATACTTGAGTAAAAGTACAGATACCTTACAGCGAAAATGACTCCATTACAAATTACAAGTTACCTATTCCAGCACGACTTGAGTCAAAGTCTTAGAGTATCTGATTTTAACAGTACTTAAGTATGTCACTCGTACCAAATGTAGACTCAAAGATGCACTAGTCCTCAACCCTAAATGTGTTGGAGTACAGAGTAGGCCGTGAGATTTGTTGACGAATTGGTCGTGAGATCATTCAACATGATACGGAACTAAGAACCAGATTATAATAATTAGATTAATATAAGCATATGTCTTATTCAGATTTCTAGAAAAGGGAATATTAATCAGGTTATGTTTTTAGAAGACACACTATACATAATATGAATTGAATATGACCAAATTGTTAAATTGCGTGTTAACGTGGCCATGACAGTGGATATCCTCATACTTCCAACAACCAATAACCAGATATCTATGTATTTCTTCTGTCACCATTTGTCACAACTAACTTAATTAGTCACAACTAACTTAATTTACTCAAATACTTTACACCCACTGCTTTATTGCTCAACATAGTCATTGTCTTTTCGAAAGTATTTTTTAAAGAGACAAGCTCTCTAAATCAAGTCAGCGTGTTTTGTGTCCCTAAAAAGCAGTGTGGTCAGACACTCTGTTGACTCTGTTGGCAGAAATGAATTTCTGAGACAGATTGCCCTCTTTTGAATTGATTGGAAAGGTTAAAGCTCTGTACACCACTGAACCCAACATATCAAAGCCTTTTGAAATGGCAGGTCATGGAATGTACAACTGCCAGAATAGGATTGAAATATTGGAAATCCATATGCTGCTTATTTTTAGATTGGCAAAGTACTGCATGTACTGTATGCTATAAACATTTACATGCATTTTCATCAAGATCCATATTTTGAATGTTCTTTACTCTGAAAAGACATGTTTATGACAGATTTCTGAATATTTCAAAGATTGGAGATATGGACATTCCAAATAAAATACTTCACGCACATTATTTCCCCACTAAATGTTTTCTTATCATTTTTAGTAATCAAATCAACTCATTAATTCCAACCCGATCTCATGGCAATTCGTACGTATTTTACAAGGTGGCTATTTCCTCACTCGGACGACCTCACTCGTACGATTTTTGCTTAATCGTACCATCACTGGGGTTTAGACAAACGAATTTGTACGAATCAGCCACCTCGTAAAATACGTATGAATTGGTTGTGAGATAGCGTTGTTAATTCTCATTCAACATTATATAGAATTAAGTGCCAGATTACAATAATTAGATTAATATAAGTCTTATTCAGATTTCTAGAAACTGGAATATTAATCAGGTTATGTGTTTACAAGACACTCTATACATAAAATAAATTTGACCAAATTGTTAAATGCATGTTAAGTTAACGCAACGCATTCTTATTTCTCATCCCAAGGTGTCATATACTTACACTTTTGCCAATGCGTATACATCTAACGCACATGGTACCCCTTAGCGTCAATATAACACGCTTCGGTTATGGGTAGGTTTAGGTCTGGGGTAGGGTTAGGGTTAGACCACTAGGAGGCGCCTTCGGGACCAAATATATCTTCGTCTCATATTGACACTAAAGGGTGCCATGTGCGTTGGATGTATAAGCATTGTCAAAAGCTTCAGTATATGACGCCTTGGGATGAGAACGGGCTGGTTAAAGGGGTCCCTCACACATCCAACAACCAAAAAAAAAAAAATATTAAATCATCTGACTGCTCTAGATTATTATCTTCGGGTAATAATAAGTAATATATTCAGTTGTAAGTCGCTTTGGATAAAAGCATCTGCTAAATAACTAAATGTAAATGTAATAAATTCCCACTGTGTACAAAAGATATCCTTAATAAATGTATGTATTCATTTTAGATTTAAACTGTCAGTAATTCTGAGCATTATGAGTTTAGATGCTCATTCTCAGTGTTTTAAGAAGGTTCTGGTAACCTTTACTGCAGATAAATACAGTCTGCAGTCAGAGAGGCCCGGAGAGCTGATTTTATTTCAACACAGTGATAGGTCAGCATATAACAAAGCCCGGGAAATGAAATTGCTGGAGTAATTTAGTTAGTGCTAGGCTAGCACAGGCCCAGCGTCACTAAGCTTAGCTTTGAAGTCATCAGGTTTGGCAAAAGCAGTCATGTGTGGGTAACCTGATAAGAAGACATGGTTTAATTAAATGTGAGATCAGTAATCAACATTGCACACTTCAAGAGGAAAATATCAATGATGTCAGTCTGTGATGTCATTGCAAATAAAACGACACAATTAAACGCTTAATACATGCAATATATTAAAGTTTTTAGTGTAGTGGTTTCTGATTAATGAATAAATAAAGGTCCGTAGTCAACTATCTATAAAAACATTCACGTTTTGTTGGTACATGTACAGGAAAAAAAAAAAGAAAAATATGTATTTAGTTTTTTATTTTGTGCAAAGAGACTCCTGAGAGGATCTAAGCAATCAGGAAGAGGCATTCAATCTCTGAATACCTCATGTGGTTTTCATCAGACCTGCAAAAGCATCCAAAATATCAACCCTGCAATTTCAGTGTGTGAGATAGCGTAGGCCGACTAAGTGTTTGAAGCAAGAGTAGTCACATATTTATTTCTGAAGAATGAATGGTTGAAAATAATTGCAGCATCAGGTTTAGAACAACACGAAGGTGAGAACTATCCCTGTATCAACTCATAATATAATAGAAAAGCATAATGTTATAACGGCACATAATGTAATAAGTAAAAAAAAACCGGTAAGCTACTGGCAGCTGTGGATGCCAGCATCATATCGTAACTATATGGTCTGTTACTGTTTTTGTGTTAGAGCATATAGCTCTTAAATTAAAGTTTTATACTGTAGCTGGCAATACGGTATTTAGCTGTTAATTTCAAAAACAGTAACACAACGTATTTTTACAGTATGATGCTGGCAACCACAGCTCGGAGTAGTTTACCGTTTTTTACAGGATGATTTTTTTACAGTGATATAATACAAGGTTAATAATGTAATACTTTTCTTAGAACGTAATAAAAATCTTTTGTTCATAATGCAATAAAATTGTTTACACATAATGTAATTGGTTATTGTATGAAAAACGTATTACATTATGAAC